CATGAGACCACTGTCTATATCCATGTAAGCATCTACAGCATCCTTTGGACATGTGACCAGTGTCTATGTCCATGTAAGCATCTGCAGCATCATTTAGACATGAGACCTGTGTCTATGTCCATGTAAGCATGTACTTCGATCCCTATAAGTCATCTTGGGAATGATGAAGTTAAAAGATTGCGTATAGTTTGCATGGGCATCAACTTTCAAAAAGCAAAGTAAGATGCACCATTAAACTTTGCCGAAAGATGCACTAGGGTGAAAATTGGTTGCTATCCCTAATCATGAAATTTAAAAGTTATCGGTTGAGCAGTTTTATATATAATTAAAAATTTATAAAGTTAACAATCCAGATGATATATAACAAGATACACTATTTTGATGTTTTAAAACATTTTTATTTTTTTTATCATATTCATACATTGTGAGATTGAAATAAAAGGATCAATTTGAGGATTTTCCAACATCCAAATAACATTTTTTGATGGGTTTTTAAATTGCATCTTACTTCATTAATATAAACTATCAAGTTAACACCTTCCATAAACCTTTTTCCAAAGGAAAAAGTTTATATTGGGCTGAAGCTCTAAACAATCAAATTTGAACCTACCTCAAAAATTTCACTAGAAGAGGTTGTTTTCATGATCAAATATCCTCAAATTGATCATATCGACATCAAGATGATGAAAAAAATGGATTTCAAGTTTTGAAAATGGAGCATTTTGCAACGCATTTTTGGATCGTCAATTTTCAAGATTTTTATGTTTTCTTAAATCTATCGATCTACACTATTTTTGAAGCTTTAAAATTTATAAATAAAGATAAAAATATATTTTAACGCTGTCACAAAGATTTTCAGTATTGAAACCACATTTCTCGACACTATTGAAAAGTAGGGTCTAATTTAGGCCAACAGCACCCTTTCTCAAAATATTTGGTTTCCACTAAAGTTAACAGCGTTTAAGGATCGGAACCTTGGTCTTTAAGAAAATGATTCGGACGTATAAAGTTGGGTTTGGAGTGCATCATGGTGTTTCTTGCTAGGAAACAGTTCCCCCATGAAGTGGTCATTTTCCGGCTCCCTTATACTATATTTGTAAATCATTCAGGCATTAAAAAATTTCCTCTTTACGGAGGAGATTTAATTATAGGGAAATTTACGCGTGCTCCTATCGAGAAAATTTGAAAATATTACACAAGGCCCCTCACTAACTTTTTATTTAACACACATAGCCTATTATTAAGGGTATGACCCTATGGAGTGCCATCTGTAGCGCTGATCCAATATAGCACATGTTAGAATGTGCAAGTTAGTTCAAGTAGAAAGCTTAAAAAAAACAAAAGATAGATCCAAAAGGCTATGGTTGGAAGTTGTAAAAAAAAATATGTGCATTACGACCTTGCTGAGAATAAAGCTTTTGATAGAGTAAAATGGCGAACCAAGATTCGTGTAGTCGATCTCAAATTGTTGGAAAAAGACTCTGATGATAGTGATGATAGCCTCTTACTTCTTCTTTTTCCTTTACATCCAACCCCTTCGGTTAAAATTATTGGACATTAGACAAGAATGAGCCTTTTAGTTGTTAACATGGTAGAAATTTAAAAAAAGAAGAGAGCATCGAAAGAACTGAAGTTAACTTGGCACTCCAAGTTTCAAATCGACTACCCGTTAAACAAAGGATAATAATCTGAGGTTAGTTCGACACTTTGGTCGGTTTGGCACTTCGAGTGTAAAATCAAAATCCAAGAACAACAAAAATGACCTAGGTAAAAAAAAAAGACCGAATCTCACCGTGTTGACTGTAGAGGACGTTTTTTTCCTAGATTGCGTAAAAATTAGAGTGAGTAGATTTTGTGCCATATTTGCCTCTATAGAGGACATTTTTGTTCTAGGTTGCCTAAAAGTTTCACAAGGTTGATACAAGGTGTAAAAACCTTTTGAGCAATTTGTTAAAATACACTTACGCTTGTTTGTTTTGATGGAACTTTTCATTCACACTCATGGAAGCTGCATGATGAACCTACGTTTACCAAGAATGTGCAAAAACAACATAGCTGTATAAAAGTCACCCCTTCTATGCTTTCTGCCTTCATATTTTGTGAAAATTAGATGGTTGTATTTATCTCAAACTTCAAAAGCAATTTTCTTGAATTTTTGTGACACACCCAAACTATCAGATTTCATATCGAACAGTTATACTGGCTTCTTTGCATAAAAGGTAAATGGTCTCATTACAGACAATCTCATTTCATAATATCCCTACGATCCTTTTCATACGGCTTTAAACTTTCTAAGCACCTTTCATCTCACCCCCTACCATTCTCCTTACTCTACTTGTTACTTTTAAATACCCCACACAAAGCCTCTATTCTCTTTCAGTCCTTTCTCTTTTTAACCAATTTTAACCCACTTCCTAAACCCTCGCCGCCACTTATCTATGTGCCTTCAGTCCCACAACCATATCTCTCTCCAGTCTCTTTGGCTGTCTATATATATATATATATATATATATATGGTGCCCG